AGTAATCTCAATTTTAAGCAACTACCAAGAGTGCTTGGAATTTCACCGGCCAACATGTTCTCAGAAACATCAAGTTCTTCTAGATTTTTTTAAATTCCAATTTCCATTGGAAGGGAATCAGCCAAATCATTACGAGATATGTGTAGATACAATAACGATAAGAGATTGAGAACTTCACTGGGTATGGTACCACCAAGATTGTTTTGAAGTACTCTTAGTTCCTGTAACATTTGGCATTTCCCAAGACTTCAAGGGATTCTGCCATGAAGATTATTGTTGCATAACATAAGATTTGTCAACACAGTTAAATTTCCAAAAGACAATGGGATATTCCCGTAGATCATATTACCTGAGAGATCTCAATTCTGTAGCTTTTGAAACTTTCCAATATCAGCAAGAATGTTACCTGTGAAATTGTTGTTTGACAAGTCAAGAATCTGCAAATTGATCAGATTTCTTATCCCGGTTGGGATGATCCCAACTATTTCATTGTTGCTCAATATTAGTTTACCAAGATCAGTGGACAAATTGCCAATTGATTCATGCAACAATCCTACAAAATTGTTTTTGCTCAGATCTAGAACGTTCAAATTTGTCACATTGGTCAAAGAATAGAGAAACCTCAAGTCATCGGCTTCCCCGGCTCCTGAACCATTTCCATGAAAGTTTAACAGCTGAAGATCATGCAGGTTGTCCAAAGGAGGAACTTTTCCAGTAAATTTATTACCGGCCAAGCCAAGGCGTTGTAGTTTAGTGGCATTAGACATTGAAACAGGAATGGATCTAGTAAACGAGTTTACACCAACTTCAAAGACACTAATATTGGGAAGAGAAATTCCTTGGTCCTAGGGAAGGCTCCCTTGAATTTGGTTCATTACGACATTAAATTCTGTAGCAGACGAGAGATTAAAGATTGAGAAAGGAATGGTACCAACCAACCTGTTCATCCTCAACAGAAAAACTTCCAAGTTTGTCAATCGACCCAGATCAACAGGTATGTCACCACCAATACTATTTTCTTCTGCAACAAATGATAGATTCCCAAAAGAATAAGGTACACTACCTGTTAGATTGTTTCTCCCAATGTACAGTCTCTTTAACTTGGAGAACCCAGCTCCACTGGAATTTTCCCTCCCAACCTATTGCCAGAAAATTCAAGAACAACTAAGACTATTGTTACTCAATGATAGTTCACTGAGAAAGCTTAGATTTCCAATGTGAGGTGAAATGGAGCCTGTTAATTTTTGATGATCCAAGTTCAACACAATGAGCCTCTGGTTGGAGCAGCCACATGTTACACCAAACCATTGACAGAAGTGGATTGATTCATTCCACGAGTTGAGAGCACCAAATGGATCACTTGTTATTTCAAACTTGAATGCAAGCAAAGCTAGCCGGTCAGTCTCATTCCCATGGCACTATTGAACCCATCTGGGTATTGGAAACAACAAATTGAGTTTGAAAGTCTATTGTGTTTTGCACTGTTTTAAAGAATTTTCAATCTGTTCTCTCACTTTGAAGATTGAATCAGAGCATCAAGTTTATTATTTAGAGTTCTTTCCACTTTGCCCTTAATTTTTGTTACTTTATTTATAGTGCTTATCCCCATCTGTTAAATATGCATAATCATTACAGCATGATTTAATCAAGTTTATTATCATGAGGGAGAACAGGAAACCAATTGCTTTGGTTCCAATTTTGTGAATTTAATTTTTTTTAAATTGATTTTTTGTTTTTGTATTTTTTTTTGTTTTTAGTGAATTTTTAAAATAGTTTATGATTTTTTTTTAGATACACTTAATATAAATACAATTAAAAAGTGTAATATTAAACATGAACATGACGAGTATTTGAGCCTTGAATGCAACATTGCTAGCCAATCTGTCTCATTCCCAGCTACATGAACATGATCAAGATCACTCATCTGGGGAAATAGTGTTGTCTTCAATGTTCTAAATCACTTCTTCCTCATTATTATTATTATTATTTTTTTTTCCCCTATTAGGCTTAAAGGTTTCTCAATCAATCCCATCTCTCACTGCATATGAAGTCAGTCAGTCCTGCAGAAAAAAAGTCATGATCATGATCAAGATCACGCACTTGCCATCAATCTGTAGTTTAAATTCATTCTAGAACTCACACTACCGATTCAATCTCCACCCCACAATCTAAATTTTTTTCTTTTACTTTTCAAATTTCTATCCGAATCCATAATCCAAACATAGCCTTAAACTTTTTTATTAAATTTAAAATCAAATGAAATTTCATTTTACTCCCCAAACTATCATTTAAAAATTAATTTAATCCAAGTTTTTTTAATAACAATTTTATACTTAAACTATTCGATTTTATATTAATTTCACTCTCACCGTTAGCTACCGTGTATAATCAAATGGAAGTTGCTAATATAACATTGAAATTTAATTTGAAACTTCACTTTACCCTTCGAACTATCCCAAAAAATATCAATCAGACCCTTGAGTATATTTAAATTTACTCTTAAACTATCTTCTTCTTCTTTTTTGTTGTAAGGTAAATTTAAATTTATTCTCTACTTGCACAATCATCTTAGTTCCACCTCTACTTGCAGTTTAATTTTTTTAAAATACATGTGATGTTGTTATGTGACTACAAATGTCTGATTAATCTATTTTTTTTCATGAATAATTTACTTAACGAATCTTACAATTTAACCGATTTGAATCATCGAAGTAATCTCGAGAAAAGCACACACAAGACTGCATAACAAACTACTGTGCCTTGTGAGTACAACAACCTCTCTTCCCTAACGTTTCACCATCTTATTTGTTATTCTCAAACTTTGTTCTCTACAATTAATGGAGTACATATCTTCTGTCTCCCTTTTTGCCATCTTCTATTTCATACTTATCTGATATTACTACATCATCACATCAATAATTAAAAAATATAAGACAGAGAATGGTAGATGATCTCATATCCAATAAAAGACCCTAAGGCCATGTTTGTTTGGGTGGACATGAGCTTGGGATTGGACTAATAGTCCAATAAAATTATTAATCCGATGTTTGGTTAAACAATTGAAGTACAGACTAATTATTTTAAACTTGACTATTAGTTAAGACATGATACATAATCCAACGGATTCGTAATCCTAGGATTATTAGTCATGGGAATACTAATCCAGTCCGCCCAAACAAACATGGCCTAAATGTCTTGAATCATTATAAGTAAAGCCCCAAGTCCACTATATATTGCCCATTCATGGTCATCCCACCCAACCCACTTAATTTGGGATTTTTCTAGAAGTTTACACAATTTGTATTTAAAATGACAGGATTGTAGTGTGACTTATTTTTTTAAAATTAAAAATCTCGATTAAAATAACATTTAGTTATACAAAAAATTGTCACTGCTATATCATTTTGTTAAAGAATTCTATATAAATAGTATTTTCGTATAAGTTGACATCAGTCAATAAATTTTAGTTAGATTGGATGCCTTATCTCATTATAATCCAAAGAGAAAAAAAAGATGGCAACAGGTTGCCACAAGTCAAGTCTTTATCCCATAAACAATGGCTCTTGAGGTATCAATTGTTAAAAGCACCATTATATATATTTTACTCCTTAATCATATCTATGATGAACTTGGTAACTTAGTGGCATAAAATGGTCTGAACTCATTCCCCTTTTTTCCACAAGTAATCATTAATTATTTGTTAGAATGAGCCAATGGAAGGAATTCCATTCCAATTGCTCACAAAGATAAATATATACTCAAGATTAAAAACAATTAGAACTTGAACATATATATAAAGGAACTACCAATATATATATATTCTAAAATGATTTTTAGACTTTAGACTTCAGAGGATGATTCTTGTAATTAACCTAATCGATTTCTCTAGTTTTTAAGTTAATAGATCTGTTGTTGGGTGTGAATTCTCTGGTTTTTGAGAGTAAACAAAACTTTCATTCATTGGAACTAAGTACTAGTGCCCAAAGCTGGAAGTTTTCATCCCAAATCCTAATAACAAGAAGCAGTTTTTATTCTTTTAATCTTTTGAACTTATAGTTATGTTTGATTATTAGATTAGGTTGACTAAGATAATGTATGGGATTACTAGTGTGGTGACATTAAACCGTAGAAGTAAGATAATTGGTATTTGCTTGTGCACCAGTGTAATTGGTTTTGATTAAATTTATGCAATTACGTAAAAACACTCGTTATATAAAATGTAACTATGTTGTTTTTGTCACCAAATCTTTTAATCCAAATGAACTGTAAGAAACCAAGGTAATGTCAGATTTACCATATTCTGAATATCAATGCACTTGAATGCAATTCTGTAAGTATTTAATAAATTCAATAAATTTTGAAAAGGAAATATAGGCTATTCGGCCTAAAGTATATAAACTTCAAACAAGTAGAGAGTTTAACAAGGATACATCAACAGGTCTTGAAACTTGCAAATAGACAAACTACTCTTACCAACTAAAAAAAAACAGACGACAAACAATCAAGTCTATAACAGCTTTAACACAACAAAAATCATAAGAAAAACAAAATAAAATATTCTTCATCCCAGCTAATTGAGTTTAGACAGTATTCTTCACATCTCTCTAATTATTACAAGTAAACATAATACATACAAGCCATATCTTAGTTTATATCACACCGCATTTATATAGATTATAAGAAGTTTTACTGTTATGTCTTGTTTAGACCATTGCAAGTCATATTTGTGACTATGGAACGTGTTTTAGAGTAAATGATAGAATAGCCATTGCAAGTCATAGCCTTCTTAAAAAGTACATTTAAATGAGAAAAGTTGAATGTCTGCTTGAGATTAACATAAAATCCTTAAAAAAAAAAAATTAAAAATTAAAGGATAGGATCATATATGTAACACGCGGCCAAAACAATAATTTCCAGCATCACATAGTTGTGGAGATCTTCAAGTCCAATCAGACCTCAAAATTGGCCAGAATATATAATCTAATCCCATTCTCTTATAAGTTCTATAGCAACAACTTGTTTGGAACCATTGCAATTCATATGAACCTATTTTAAAGTATAAAACAGGATAGATAGCCATTGCAAGCCATAGCCTTCCTGAAGTACATTTAGATGAGAAAAGTGCATGCTTGAGACAAAATAAAAACATAGAAGAGAGAGGGGGGGAGGGGGGAAGAAATTAAAGCATAGGATAATATAACATAGTTGCTGAGTCGACAAAGATCTTGAACTCCAATCAGGCCTCAAGTACATAGGAGAAGAGAAAAATAACTAAGTAAAACTTCAAATAGTATGATGAGAAATAATAAACAATTAAAATAAGACACAAAAAAGAAGCTGAAGCAACTTGAAAATCAGTTTTTTTGGTACCTTGTTGAAAAAAGGTATACAAATATGTTATTGTAAACCAATTGCTCAAAAGATCATAAAAGGAAAAAGAAAAAACATAGAAGTAAAGAACCACACTTGCCCTTATCTAGTGTCATGTTTCAAGCTTAATTGAACGCAAAATTCATGGAATGAGTGTAACCCATAATACATGCAACAAAATGGCAGTTTGTCGTTTGTCTTTCTTTTTCAACAACTAGTGCCATCTAAAAAATGCAACCCTCCTTAGGAACAGATAAGCCTCAAAGGCTTGGCAAGGGATTAAAACAGAGTAGTTGCACAATACTCCATTAGTTGGTATATTTGTCAACCCTAGCCATATGCAGATTAAAATGTTGTGGATCGGGGGCACACCAGGGAACTCAAACAAGCAATAACACACAAGTTTTAACGTGGTTCGGCAAGTCGCCTACGTCCACGGGCAGCGGATTCACTATATTGAACAAAATGGTAAGAATTACACACTCGCTGTAATTCTCTCTCTCTTTGCTCTCAACTCACACCTCTCAGCTCCAATTCTGATGATTATATCCTCTCCCTCCCGTCTCTATTTATACACAAATGAGTAGGTGGGAGAGCCTTCACTCTTGACTTTTGACATGGTTGGTGGCCACCAAGCTTGACTTGGTTGGTTGCCTTGGTTGGTTGCCTTCCATTGTTGACATGAGGATCACCCCTTTCACATGGGGTGACCTCCAGAATCTGTAGCCAATATTCAACATAAAAAACTTGAAGTTACATTCCCATCAATTCCGTTAAATGTATAGCCAAAGTGCACTAACCACCATAGTTGTGTCAAGACATTCAAATGCTTCCAGTTTCTAACCAATTTTGTTTTCCAGATTAAGTTGGAGGGGATTATGGGGAAAAGAGCTTTGCAACTCTGAAATTATGAGAGCTGAGGTTCCAGTATCGTGGAATAAGATTTTGGCAATAGAGGTTGATTAATATTGATTGATTTTTGCTTATTGTATTATTCTTAGTCATATTTGTAATGTGAATCTAGTTGAATTATTTGCTCAAGTTTGCAGAAGAACCGTAATAAAAAACCAAAGAAAAAAAGAATTTCCATTCGGTCATGCTTGACAGGAAACATAACTGATTTTTCAAAATGTCAATGTTTAAGAATGTGGTCATTTGGGTGAAGTATAGCATATCTAAGGTGTTATGATTTATATGCCACAAGACAAACTGAAGTTTGTCGGCCTAGTGTAGAATTGCGACAGTTTCAATAATAAATGCAGGTATATTCTTCAGTTACTAAGAAAGTGACAGGGTCATACCTACTCATGATCACACTGTAATTCTAGCTCTTCTTCCTCCATGAACTCCATCAGTTCCAAGAAAGTTGTTCTTGATCACAAGCAACTGAGTAACAATATGATTAATGGTTGGTCTATCTCTCGGTAGTTCTTGTGAACATGCAATTCCAATATTAAGTATTGAAATCAAGCACTCATAAATTTTATGACTGCCAGTAGAGCTCTGATTCCGAGTGTTTTCGGTGCTTGAGCTTGCCTCCTCAATTTCTCTTTGTTGAATTAGTGTTGGATCAACAACGCTCGCTACTTGTTCAGGTAAAGCCATCTTAGCAAAGTTATGGAGACTCAGACTATCATTAAACATGTTATCAGTAGGTCTCTTCCCCGTAAACATTTCCAATAAGAGGATACCATAACTGTATACATCACCAAATGTTGTCACCTTATTTCCCATACCATACTCTGCAATTGATGCATCATTCAAAGTAAATACATTTGTAAAGATGCTTGGTTAGAAGCATATCAAATAATAGTAATAGTAACGTACCTTCTACAGATAACTCTTTGTAGAAAACAAGTTCAGCGCATAAAAAACTTTACTATTTAAAGTAAGATAGGAAAGAATTATGTCTTCTCTTGGTGAGATAACAACATTTCATTTGTCTGCTTGTGTCATGAGAAAGGCCCAACTTGAAACAAGTTGATTGTTTCCCAGTGATATTTATGAAACCAAATAGTCGATGGTTCAATATCCTCTTAAGAAATAAGCAGTTGAAGCTTCGGTGACTGTTTAACTTTATCTGATTAGGTTTGTATTCATCAAAATTATTAACGTAAAAGAAATAGATAAGAAGATTGAAATTAGAAAAAGAGGATTTTCTAATTTGGTTTTTATGTTATCCTATGACTACACACATGGGAGATGAACAAAAGTCAGATATTGTATGTTGTTGCGCCAAGAAAAATACAAGATTTCTCAATATTGGTACATCTCCATTGAAGGCAAAAATAAACGTAAATACAATTATATGGATTATGATTTGCAGACAACAAGATAGGAGATGTATGGAAAATCCTCTAAAAAATGGGATTGTATATTGGGTTGTATATTATAAGCAAGAAATTAATGAAATTAAGAACCTGCATTCCTTTGAGTTTCATATTTTTCAGACTAAATTATATGCAACCAAAAAGAAAAATTGGAAAGTATTTGCCAAACATTGATTTTCATGCATTTGAAGGGCAAATGATGTTGTGAGAAATAAAACCAAAGAACCATCTGCTTTACTTCATTGATTGAAGGAGCATACTTGATGGATATGCAAATCAGACTCTAAAGTACGTTGGAAATTGAAGGTGAAAAAGAATATCAGAAAAGGGACTAAGAAATACATTTACCTGGAGTAGCATAACCAACAGACCCTCTTAAGCCAATGGAACTTGATTGAGTTGCAGAAGAATTATAGGTGCCTTCTGGAAGGAATCTAGCTAACCCAAAATCACCTACATGTCCAATCATTTCATTATTCAGAAGAACATTGCTCGGCTTCAAAGCACAGTGAACTATTGGTTCCGAGCAATGGTGGTGAAGATAATCAAGTGCAGAAGCAACATCAACGGCAATATTTAACCTTTGTAGGATGTTTAAATTTCTTGATTTGACATGCACCTCATCTTCATTTTCATTTGCATGTAACCAATCCTCTAGGCTACCATTGACCATGAACTCATAAACCAAAGCTTTGAAATCATTACCATTATAGTCAACACTTGAACATGCTGTGAAAACCTTGACAAGATTTCGATGTCTGATGCGCCTCAAGGCCTCACACTCAGCAACAAAACTCTTGGAAGCTCCACGGAATTGAAGGTTTAGTACCTTCACTGCAACAACTTTTTCACTGTGATCAAGAATTCCTTTGTAGACTGAACCAAAACTACCCATGCCTATCATGTTGGCTGGAGAGAACCCATCTGTTGCCTTGAGTAGACTTTGGTAGGACAGTTTCACATATGACTTCCCTAAAAATCTCAACAGGGGTACTTTTGTTGTCTTTCTAAAGCAACAAAGATACAGTAAACACAACACTATTACTAGTCCCAGAAGCCCAAACGATGTGGGGATTATTATTTTCATGATGAGTGTAAATCTTTTTCCTTTGAATTCCTTGGTATTGCAACTATGCAAATGTAGTTTAGGTATACCACCACAAAGCTGCTTGTTTCCCCTAATAGAAATGGCCATTGCATTTTAAATATGCCTATTTCGGGTACCGCACTCTCAAAATCATTGAATGATAGATCTAATTTTTGTAAGAAGACAAAGCCCTCTAAATAGTCTGGGATTTTGCCTGAGAAATTATTGTGAGAAAGATCTAATTCCTCAATACCTCTCAAATAGCTTAAAGATGAAGGAAGGATTCCCCAGAAATTAGTGCTCTGTATATATAGAAATCTCAATTTTACACAATTACCAAGAGTGCTTGGAATTTTTCCAGACAACATGTTCCCAGAAACATCTAATTGTTCAAGATTTATTAAATTCCCAATTTCTAGTTGTATGGACCCAACCAAATGGTTATCACATAGGTACAAGTTCAACGATGATGAGAGAGTTAGAACTTGTTTGGGTACGATACCACTAAGATTGTTTCCATCAAGAGCTAGATCTACAAGGGGGCATTTTCCCAGACTTGGAGGAATGTTGCCATGCAAGTTATTTACTCCTAAATAAAGATACGCTAGTGAAGTCAAATTTTTCAAAGACAATGGAATTTTCCCATAGAATTTATTACCTGAGAGATCCAAAATTTGTAGCTTCCCAATATCAGCAAGAATGTTGCCGATGCAATGATTGTCTGACATGTCCAAAAGTTGCAAATTGACCAAATTCGCCATCTCGATTGGGATGCTCCCACCTATTTTATTTTTTTCCAAAGAAAGGATACCAAGAAAGGACAAATTGCCAATTGATTCTGGCAACACCCCTCCAAAGTTGTTGGAGTTCAGTGTCAAAGAGTTCAAATTGGTGGCATTGGGCAATGAGCTAAGAAAATTCAAGTCACCAGCTTCCCCTGTTCCAAGATGATTGTCTTCAAAGTTTAACCGCCCAAGACTGTGCATCATTCCCAAAAGAGGCACTCTTCCAATAAATTTATTTTCTCCCAAATCAAGGAGATATAGGTTGGTTGCATTTGATATTGAAATAGGAATGGATCCAGTAAACAAGTTTACTCCAACTGAAAACCATTGAAGAGTTGGAAAAGAAATTCCAAGATCTAAGGGAAGTCTCCCTTGAACTTGGTTCATTGTTATATCAAAAGCTGTGATGGAAGAGAGATTAAAGATTGAGGAAGGAATAGTACCAACCAACTTGTTCTTCGCCAATACAAGATAGTTTAAGTTTGTCAATCAGCCCAGGGCTTCAGGTATACTCCCATTGATATTATTGATACTTACATCGAATACAATAAGGGATGACAGATTCCCCAAAGTACAAGGAAGGCCACCTGTTAGATTGTTTCTTTCAATGAACAACTGCTCGAGCTTAGACAGAGAACCAAGCTCCACGAGAATTTTCCCAGCCAGACTATTGCCAGAAAGCTGAAGGACAGCAAGGTTAGAGCAAGCAGATATATTGGCGGGAATTTCACCACCAATAGAATTATTGAGTAGTCTCAGTATTTGCAGTCTCCGTAGATGGCCAAGTTTAGGGGGGATTTGATGAGTGAAGCTATTGTTACGTAACCACAGTTCCCTAAGAAAGCTCAGATTTCCAATGTGAGGCGAAATTGAGCCTGTCAATTTTTGATGATCCAGTTTCAACTTAGTTACCCTCTGGTGTCGTCGGCCACATGTTATGCCATCCCATTGACACAAGTGGATGGATTCATTCCACGAGTTTAGAGCCCCAAAGGGGTCACCGGTTATTTCAGCCTTGAATGCGAGCAAGGCTAGCCGATCCGTCTCATTCCCGGCTACATGAACATGATGACGATGAGTACTAGAGCCTGAACCACCCAAACATGAACACCCCATGAGAACAACAACAACATGCATGAACTGAAACAGAGTCCATGACATTGACGACACCAATATTAAACCCATATGAGGATTGAACGCTCTCATTGAATTTGAGAGAGCATCCATCCCTATATATAAAGGGGAGCTTCTATATACACACACCTAATCCCCTCAATACACACACTTAATGATATTTAATTTTATTACAATTTTATCCCTAAGTGAAATTACCATTTTAGACACCATTGTTAATTGAAAACATCTCAATGCACACCTCAGAGTTCACATTGTTGCATCGTGTGTGTAAGCCACTGGTTTGGCATGCTTCTTTGAAAATGGCTTTGGCATTTCTGTAGGGTTTTCATTTTTTACAAAGGGCTTTGGCATTTCTATAGGGAAAACATCATTGTGATGGAGGATTTGCCTTCTGAAAATCAGCAAATAAGTATTCATGTGAAGCAGAGCGAAGGAAATGTGAGTTTATTTTTTTTTTTTCGCAGCGTCGTTCGGATAACCAGAGCCGAATTTTGTTATTTTGTTCGGAAATGTACTACCAAAATAATTATGTATTTTCGGAAGTTGATGTCCGAACAAAGTGATAAATTTCGGAAGTTGTTGTTCGAAAAATGTGTTCAAATTCAGAAGTTGTTGTCCGAACAAAGTTAACTTATACAACATTCAACTTCCGAAATTTGAAAAAAAATTCGGACAACTACTTCCAAATGAAGTAAATTTTTTTTTTCCATTTTATATTCCAAATTTGCAAACTGCATACCAAATTTACAGTTTCAAATTGCAAATTAATCTTTATAATGCCATTAAAAATTTGTAATATTATACAAAACATGCAGGAATATGTGTCAACTCAAGGAAGTCAGGTTTGCGCGGATTTTGTGTTAGATTACACCACTCATTTCACAACTGAACAGGTTCAGTCTACGAAATTATAACGATTATGTTTTGAATTGCTCACCAAATGTAAATGTTTGATAATATTTATTTAACTTTGTAGGTATTCAAAAGTAAGGATGAATTGCTCAACTGGGTACGTGAAGTTGGAAAGAGAAATGGTTTGGTCATTGTAATCAAAACATCAGACTATGGTGGAGGGAAAAAAAGACCCAGGATGTATCTTGCTTGTGAGAGGAGTGGCCAATATAGAGCAACAAAGAAGTTAAAACATGATGGCAACAATACATCAAAAATAACCGGTACGAAGAAGTGTGGTTGTCCTTTTGATATGAGGGCTCACAGGTTTACCACACATGATGAATGGACATTGACTGTAGTATGCGGATTGCATAATCATCCACCTGCAGAGCACCTCGAGGGACATTCATATGCGGGGAGGCTATCAAAGGATAAGAAAGCATTGTTAATGGATATGTCAAAGAGCATGGTTCGGCCAAAAGAAATCCTAGTAACCTTGAAACAGCGAGATGCCCTCAATGTAAGCACACTTAAAACCATTTACAATGTACGCCATCGAAACAGGGTGGTACAGAGAGCTGGAAGATCACAGATGCAACACTTATTGGGTGAATTGGCCAAGTATAATTACATTGAGCGCCATCGACGTGAAGAGTCCATGATGACTGTGACAGACTTGTTTTGGGCACATCCTACCAGTTTGGACTTATTTCGGACTTTCCCACGTATATTAATTATGGATTGCACATATAAAACCAACAGATATCGGCTTCCTCTTCTTGAAATTGTGGGAGTGACATCAACTGAAATGACATTCTCTGTAGCTTTTGCATACTTACAGTATGAGAGGGTCGATAACTATACGTGGGTGTTAGCTACATTGCGTGATGCCATGGATGGGTTTGTTGTGCCAACAGTTATTGTTACTGACAGAGAGCTAGCCTTGATGAATGCCATACAGAAGATATTCCCGAGTGCCAGACATTTATTATGTCGTTGGCATATCAGTAAGAATGTGTTGACCAAATGCAAGAAAATGTTTGAGACACAGCAAAAATGGGAGAAGTTCAACCATGAGTGGAACTCTGTAGTGTATTCATCTTCTGAAATTCAATACGAGGAGCGTCTTAAATCATTACTTAAGGAATTCAGTAGTTATCCAAAAGCAGTAAACTACGTCATGGATACTCGATTGGTTCCTTACAAGGAGAAATTTGTGGCGGTATGGACAGACACGTGTATGCATTGTGGCAATGTTACAACCAACCGATAAGATTACTTTTGTTCAATATGTTATTAATAAGTGCCATGTACTTGATTTTAACTTGACTTACATTGAATTGAACAGGGCTGAGAGTGCACATGCAAAACTTAAAAGACAATTGGGTTCATGTCAAGTCCCATTTCAGGCATCATTTGAGAAAATACACAGTCTGCTTGAGTTGCAACACACTGATATCAAGGCTTCATTTGAGAAAAGTCTAACTGTTGTGCAACATCAATTCAAGCCTTCTCAGTTCAGGGAGCTACGGGGTAATGTGTCTATCTCTGCATTGGAGTATTTGCTTGTAGAAAGTAAGAGAGCCAATTCCATTGAGCTAGAAGTGAAAGCAGAGTCATTCATAGCTTCTTCCAAGTTCATTGAGCTAGAAGTGAAACCAAAGGGCTTTGGCATTTCCGTATTGCACATGCACTGCAGATTTCACATCCTATTATTGACGCTGGTTATGAGGAGGGGATTCGTCATCCTTATCGACTTTACCAGGCTATCGAGAGTATGACACATGTTCTTGAAGGTCAGCACATTGACGAAGCTGGACCTAGTTTGCAGATAATATGGATTCTGAATATCAACAACGTGTCCCACCTACTGCTTCAAATAGACGACGTCGTGAATTG